CCCATAAAGGACACACAAGCAGTGCAGATGGGCTAAGACTGCACATATTTGTTTCCAACAACGAACAGGTGTTACACTCAATACCAAATGAAGAGTGTGCAGAGAGTGTTAAGAACTTGAAAATCACCTTGGGCGAACCACTGATGGAAAGGAGCATTGGGTGTTAATGGAATGTGTCTTCTGATGAGTTCCAATTCAGTGTCATGGTTAAGGAGCATCCACTAACAAGAAGAGGTCTGTTATCTACTGTAGCTTCCGTCTACGACCCCTTAGGGTTGCAGCACCCTTTATCTTGAAGGGAAAACAGATTGTACAACGGCTTTGTCGTGACAACCTGGATTGGGACGAACCATTGACCGAAGAACTGAAGACCCATTGGAAATCATGGTTACAAGATCTTCAGAACTTATCAAAGTTAAAGGTCAAAAGATGCTTTGTCCCAACAGACTTTGAAAGTGTTAAGTTTGAGCTTCATCATTTCTCAGATGCTAGTGTCACTGGCTATGGAGTTTGTACTTACCTCAGAGCTGTTAATGCAGATGGAGAAGTGCACTGTTCCTTTCTTATGGGAAAGGCTCGTGTCACACCTACCAAAGTCACTACCATACCTCGTCTCGAGTTATCAGCGGCAGTGGTTGCAGCTAAGACAGGTGTCATGGTAAAAAGAGAGCTTGACATTGAGGACCTTGAAGAATACTTTTTGACAGATTCTAAGGTTGTCCTGGGCTATGTCAACAATGAATCCAGACGGTTTCATGTTTTTGTTGCCAACAGGGTTCAGCAAATCAGATCTACCACTCATCCTGAGCAATGGCAGTTTGTTCGATCCGATGACAACCCTGCAGACCATGCTTCGAGAGGTCTCACTGTTGATATGCTTGTCACCTCTAGCTAGTTAAGGGGCCCAGACTTCCTATGGAATAAAGACCTACCTAAAGAAGATGCTAAGGTGGGAAAGCTCATGGATGATGATCCTGAGATTAAAAAGGTGCATGTTTTCAACGCTAAGGCAATGCAGAATAAAACACTGTTGGAACGTTTGCACAAATTTTCTGACTGGGCCAGAGCAGTTAAGGCAATCTGTTGCCTTAAGACCTACGCTAGGAGATTTAAAGGTCTCAAACCAAAAACAAGAGAGACAAGTGTTGAAGACGGACGAGAAATTGAGTTCTTCATAATCAAGCTTGTCCAAGCAGAAGCCTTCAGCAATGAAATGCAATGTCTCAGACAATGTGGAGATGTGAAATCTAAGGATAAATCAAACAGACTACACCAACTTAGTCCGTTTATTGATGAACAGGTCATACTCAGAGTTGGAGGACGTTTGACAAGATCCAGTCTTCAGCCTCATGTTAAACATCCTGGTGTCCTGCCAAAGGTCAGTCATGTCACTACTTTACTCATCAACCACTACCATCAAAGGGTTCACCATCAAGGGAGAGGAATGACTGTGAATATGCTTCGATTGAAAGGAATATGGATTGTTGGATGCAGTAATGCTGTAGCATCACATATTCACAAGTGCATAACATGCAGGAAATACCGAAGAGACACACAAGATCCAAAAATGGCGGATTTGCCAAAGGAAAGGATGTAAATGACACCACCATTCACCCATTGTGGCATGGACTGCTTTGGGCTTTGGTGTCATTTCATGCTTAGAGAAACAATTAGGAAGGGTAAGCTCCGTTTTGTTTGCAAGATTTTGAAGATTTAAAGAAGTTTCTTTCAGCTTGTAAGATCCTCACAAGAAGATTCATTCCCTGTCAGTTGTATGCAGTCAGCGAGGTATGTTTATAAGTTGTATTTTGCTTTCTCTGTATTATTTTATATCGTCATCTCTGATATGAAAGTTCGTTTTCTATTCTGCTTATGTACACTGTTTAGTTCGACGGTGGAGTTTGATTAAAGTGCTGTGAAGCATTAAACCCATCAGTAACTGAAGAACTAAGGCTTCGTGTATTTCTGGCGGGAGTGACATAAATAATGTAATATAGGTTGAAACTGGAACTTTTCTTTGTGCCCCCCTGGGTGTGTAATTTGAGGGCTTCTAGTGGAGACTGTCACCTTTTTGGGGAAGTTAAGCTCCCCTTAGCTCCCCCGTAATTCAATTCAATTTTATTTATAAAGCGCCAAATCACGACAAGAGTCGTCTCAAGGCACTTCACATAATAAACATTCCAATTCAGGTAAGTTCATTAAGCCAATCAGAAAAAATGTTTCCTATATAAGGAACCCAGCAAATTGGATCAAGTCACTGACTAGTGTCAGTGACTTTACAGCAATCCTCATACTAAGCAAGCACATAGCGACAGTGGACAGGAAAACTCCCTTTTAACAGGAAGAAACCTCCAGAGAATCCTGGCTCAGTATAAGCAGCCATCCTCCACGACTCACTGGGGATCGAGAAGACAGAGCAGGCACACACACACACACACACACACACACACACACACACACACACACACACACACACACACACACACACACACACACACACACACACAAAGACAAAGTAATGTGTCTATAGTTATATTGTGATGTCTTAGTAAATATTGTATTTGGTGAAAGATAAACTTTATTGTATTTATCCTAGTGAATCTATAATTAAACAGGTAAACTAGTAGTAGCACATCCAACGTTAAGGAAAGCAAAAAGTTATTATCAGGAGAGGGAGAATGTTTGAGTGGTTAGCAGCAGTGTGCTAGACGATGGCCCCCTCCATGAGGCTACCACAGCTCAGCAGAACATCATTGTAGCTTCTTCTGGGGAGAAAAACACTTAGAGAAAAAATAAAGTTAACAGCTGAAATTGCAGAAAATAATACAGTTAAAGAGCAGATTGTAGAAGAAAGCAGTAGGGTGTGAAAAGTGGTCAGTGTGTCTTCCAGCAGTCTAAGCCTATAGCAGCATAACTACAGAGATAACTCTGGATAACCTATCCTATTTAGATGGAGGCATGTTGGAGGCAGGACAAGGGAGAGCCGTCTTTACCGACTGTACACTCCACCTCCCTCTACTCCCCCACTTGTCCAGATCTAGGCTAACATCAGATTTTAACCATAGGCCCTATCAAATAAAAATGTTTTAAGCCTATTTTTAAAAGTAGACAGAGTGTACTTCAAACCATGTATAATGTTAAATAATCTGACCCAATGGAAGCATACATTAAGTACCAAGCACCGAACCCTGCGGAACTCCAGGAGTAACTCTGGGACAAGAAGAAGATTCCTTTTTTAAAATAGCAAAATAATTGAGAAACAATATTTTACTTGTTATTTTTTTAAACATGATCAGCAGTTTCACATACAGGCTGAACATAAAAATAATATTCTACTTCTGTTTCATTCATCAGCTGCTGATCGAAAATAGATGGAGAAACTCCTGGATTAGAAAAGCCTGACAGATCGACGCCATTCATGGCAACACTCGTCTTGGCTTGCAACAGGGAAGGCTGTTGTTGATTTGTGCAGCCAGGAGAGAGCAGAGCGTGTCTCAGTAGAAGCTAACCACTAGCATTAGCAACTCAGCAACACAGCAGAACTCCTTCAGGCTTGTGTTATTTGTGGAGATAAAACATCAACGTAGCAGAGCGAATCAGAGGCGAGATGTCTGAAAATCAGGAAATGGGACTCAAGATCCTGCCGTGTTCTGCCCCCCCCTCGAGCGTTTTATTTAAGAAGGCATTCAGTTATAACAGAAACCACAAAAGATTTATTGGAAAAAAATGCAAGTGAACAGAGCTCTAACGTCAACATCCTGGAGTCTAACAGATAAATAAAACTTATAAAGCATCCTGAAATCAAATGGATAATAATAATAATTTTAATGATTATTATGTCATTTTTTGGAAAATAAGGAAAACATATTATTATTATTATTATTATTAGAGAATTATTATAAGATTTGATCAAAACTCTTCGAAATTGTTTCTAAACATAAATCGAGAGACTCCTCTGAAGGCGGCGGTCGTGTTTTTCATTTTCAGCTGAGTCAAAGCAAGTTAGCAGTTTACAGAAAAGGTGCGTCTGCTTCACATCTGAGAGCTGAACATTAAGGAGAGTTTTTGTAAACACTCCTCATGACAAGATGAACCCCACTATGAGCTCTTCCCAGACACATTAAAGTATTTGTCAGTTTTATTTAATTTAGTTTTAATATTCGATAAAAGGATTTTGATGAAGTGGCAAAACTTAATTTCATAACAGCACTGTTTGAACTTTTAAAGGTTTTGATCAGAAGGAAAGAAAACTTGAACACTTTTTATCGCTCATTTTGGGCTTTTCCTTTTGGGTCGTTTATGCAAAATGAAAAATAAAAACAACGACTTAATTCGACGTTGCTCAGCTTTTAGGTCAGCTGCAAAGATTCAGAAGCCCTGGAGGCGTCTGAGTGTCACCACACGAGCTGCATGAAGTGGCGTGATGTGTTTGCTTTCTGAAACAACTGGATGAGCAACTTTCCCGATTCTGGAATCTGAACCTTTTCCTGTTCAATGCAACTTTAGCACAAAAACTGTGCAACATTTAAACTGTGCAGCCTGGGCTCTCATTGCGTTTCACATCTCATCACCACTAACACTGAAAAGGCCTAACGTAGCTTCGTTAGCAGCTTGGAGCTGAACCAGAGACCTGTCAGGTAACCATTGAACACCTGAACGAGTGCACGACGAGTTTCTATGAAACTCTGCAGAGGTCGACCTTTTAGTTTTCGCTGGGATTGTTAGAAAATGCACGAAATCTACAATCGGGACAAGACGATTTGGAATTTTCAAAAATCATAACCATTACATAAGATATTCAGTTTAGCAGCTGCTTTTGAGCATTTCAGGAAAAACGTATTTAACTTTCAGCTCTGAGAATCGCTCAGCTCAAATCTGAGGCTTGCACAATAAAACAAACAACTTGGGAGGAAAAGTGTGTCTTTGTCCGTGTGTTGTTTTTGCTTCCTGCATCCCTTTGTTGGCAGCATGCAGTTGGACACTCCCACCAGGAGACAGCGCAGCTATAAATGCTGCTGCACATTGCTCTCTCTCTCTCAGCAGACTCGGCAGACGACACGTTACAGTCATGGATCTTCTAACCACGGAGAAGGAGAACCAAAGGCGGATCCGAAAGTTGGAGCAAGCCTTTGGCCCAAAGGGGATGGCGTTGTCCCTTAATGGTCGGATTCTGATGGGAGAGGGCAAACTGATGAAAAGGGGTCGTAAGAAGTGGCAGCAGAGAGCTTTCTTCCTCTTCAATGACATCATCATGTACTGTGGTGTCATCATGAACAAACGCTTGTACAAAAAACAGAAGGTCATCGCTTTAGGTGAGTAACTCGTCTGTTTTATAACTTTGATCATTTGTGAGAAAATTTGAAGCCATTTTAAATAAAAGGAGTTTGTCTTTTATGTCTTTTCAGAGGACATCAAAGTGAAGGACATGGAGGACAGTGAGGACACCAAGCACCAGTGGATGATCTGCACACCTCGCAAGTCCTTTTTTGTGTCGGCTTCCTGCAACGAGGAGAAGCAAGCCTGGATGGAAAACATCAGGAAGTGCCAGTGCAGCCTGCTGCAGGGCTCCAACATCAAACCAGGCTCCAGCTTTGCCATTTCCTGGATCCCTGACCAGGCCACCACCATCTGCATGCGCTGCTGGGTCAAATTCACCGCTACCAACCGTCGACACCACTGCCGAAAGTGTGGCTTTGTGGTGTGCAACCAGTGCTCCAAGGAGAGAGAGTTGATAGAAAACATTCACCCCACCAAAGAGGTGCGGATCTGCAAAGTCTGCAACGAGAAGGTTGATGATGCGGAGAATAACCAGGAAAGCAATCGCCACAGGGGAGACAGCTCTGGAATGCACAGCTCTGAGGACGACGACGGTGAAGAAGAGCCGCTGCAGGTGTCCAGCAACTGGCCGGGCGCCAACAACTGCACGTGGAGCTAACTTGGTTAAACAGCAACTCCAGCCTCTAGTGCCAGGAGTACAACGTATAATAACACTTTTGTGTTACTGAGCATTTGCTGCAGCAGAGATTGACCAATTCACCAGTCGGCCATTGTTACAAACGGCCACCTGAGCATACTGGTCTGGTCTTAGGTTTGCTTTGTAGCATCTGGCAACAAAAAAACATGTTTCAGCACAACTTTCTGAACCTCACCACTCCTCCTGCTAAAGCTCTGCCTCAAATTTCCCAACTTGCATGTTTTATTATCATTTGTGAGCCTCAAACAGAAATGGAAGGAAATCAACGGTGGGCATTGGGAAAACCCTGATCCGTCTACTTTTCTATTCCTTTGGTGTGTAATTTAAAAAACAACATCCTGGTTGCAGAAATGGTCACCGTCTTTAAGCCTTTGAGATTGGGGAGAGCTGACAGGGATCGCTGCTCGGGGCTGAATGTGGTAAACAGAGCAGGGCGGGGTGGTTTAAAACCTGCCAAGAGCATTTTAACTAAAGACGGAGATAAAACGGCTCTGCAGAGAAGATCTGGAGTGGAACAAATGTGAAAAACTGATTGTGAAAGAACACAAGAACGTATTTTTACTGTTTACGCTGTAAACTTTTGAAGATTTTATCTGATTCAGCACTTTTTGTACAGTTCCTTGTAAACGTCTTCATTAACAACGAACTGTAGAAACTTATGTTAAATGCACCTTTTAAATTCCACTGTGATTCCAGTATAATATACATTGTATATATATATATATATATATATATATAATTATTTTACATGTAAATGACTGTAATAAACCTCATTTAGATGAACCACAACCCATTGTTGTGTCTGGTGCTTTTCATTTGGGTGTGATCAGTGAGATTGTTGTGTGTGAAACCAGCTGATCAGCTGGTTTTTGGCTCCAGAGCGACTCGTATTGAAGTTCTGTGAAAGGCTGCTAATGAGAAAATAGTTTGAGTCTGCTGTGTTTCTGGAAAAAATATATAATTTGGAAAATAATAATAATACATTTTATTTAAATGTGCCTTTTAGAACACCCAAGGTCACTTGACAGAAAATACATTCAGAAAATAAATTAAAACAAACAAAAAAAAAACAAAGAAGAAAAAACAAAGAGAGAAACAGTTCAATAAAATCAGAGTTCATAGGCAGATTTAAACATGTGTGTTTTGAGTTTGGTTTTGAAAAAAGTGAAACTGTTGATGTTCCTGATGTCTGGGGGGAGTGAGTTCCAGAGACGGGGAGCAGAGCAGCTGAAAGTTCTGCTCCCCAGGGTAGTGAGACGGGCAGAAAGAACAGCAAGATGGATGGAGGAAGAAGATCTGAGAGAACGGGAGGGGGCGTTAACACTTATAAGGTCTGATATATATGGAGGAGAGAGGTTATGGATGGCTTCGAAGGTAAGGAGGAGAATTTTGAAGATGGACCTGAATTTAACTGGGAGTCAGTGAAGCTGCTGGAGAACCGGGGTGATGTGGTGAAATCTTCTCAATCGTCTTGAACACTCGGATGAAGAGAGGGGCGGAGCTGTCAACTGACCATGGTGGGGGAGGACGCCAGTCAGACCAAGCAGGCCCAAACAATTTGCAAGGGTCTGCTGGGAACATCTGGCAGAGTCTCCTGTCAGAAGGAGCTTCAATTCCCACCTCCGACAGAACTTCCAAAATATTCCGGGAGAGGCGGGGGACATTGAGTCTGAATGCACCCTGTTTCGTGACTCCATTGTTGAGGCAGCCGACCGGAGCTGTGGTCGCAGAATCGTCGGTGCCTGTCGTAGTGGCAGCTCTCGAACCCGCTGGTGGACACCGATGGTTAGGGATGCTGTCAAGCTGAAGAAAGAGTCCTATCAGGCCTTTTGGGCCTGTGGGACTCCAGAGGCAGCTGACGGGTAGCGACAGTCCAAGCGAAATGCGGCTCGGGTGGTCGCCGAGGCAAAAACCCGGGCATGGGAGGAGTTCGGTGAGACCTTGGAGCAAGACTTCCGTACGGCTTCGAGGAGATTCTGGTCCACCATCCGGCGCCTCGGGGGGAAAGCAGTGTGCTACTAACACTATCTTGGTATCTTGGTCTTCCTTTTCAATTTTCAAGAAACTCCTGAAGACCCTGCTCTTCAGAGAGCATCTTCTTAACTAGCTCCTTCCCTGCACCCATCCCCACTCTCTACCGTCCACTCCTTTGTTCCCTCCTCTCCATGATTGATGTCAAGTTGTTGTTGTTATTGTTGTTGTTAGCCTCAAGGGCAACATGCCGATTATCACTTGTAAGTCGCTTTGGACAAAAGCGTCTGATAAGTACATAAACTATCACTAGTGGGGACGGTGCGCTGCTGACCTCTACTCAGGACGTTGTGGATCGGTGGGCAGAATACTTCGAAGACCTCCTCAATCCCACCGACACGTCTTCCAGTGAGGAAGCAGAGTCTGGGGACTTCGGGTTGGCCTCTCAAGTCTCTGGTGCTGAGGTCACTGAGGTGGTTAAAAAGCTCCTCTGTGGCAAGGCTCCCGGAGTTCCTTAAGGCTCTGGATGTTGTGGGGCCGTGTTGGCTGACACAGCTCTGCAATATCGCATGGAAATCGGGGGCAGTCCCACTGGAATGGCAGACCGGGGTGGTGGTCCCCTTATTTAAAAAGGGGGACTGCAGGATGTGTTCCAACTACAGGGGATCACACTCGGTAAGGTCCTTCCTGGTAAGGTCTGTTCAGGTGTTCTGGAGAGGAGGGACCATCGGATTGTTGAACCTCAGATTCAGGAGGAGCAATGTGGTTTTCGTCCTGGCCGTGGAACACTGGACCAGCTTTATACCCTTAGGGGGATCCTGGAGGGTGCGTGAGAATTTGCCCAACCAGTCTACATGTGTTTTGTGGATTTGGAGAAGGCGTTTGACCACGTCCATCGGGGGGCCATGTGGGGGGTACTCCGGGAGTATGGGGTACCAGGCCCTCTGATACTGGCTGTTAGGTCCCTGTATGACCGGTGTCAGATCTTGGTCCGCATAGCCGGCAGTAAGTCGGGCTCGTTCCCAGTGAGAGTTGGACTCCGCCAAGGCTGCCCTTTGTCACCGATTCTGTTCATAACCTTTATGGACAGGATTTCTAGGAGCAGCCAAGGTGTGGAGGGCATCCGTTTTGGTGGCCTGAGGATCAGGTCTATGCTTTCTGCAGATGATGTGGTCCTGTTGGCTTCATCAGAACGTGATCTTCAGCTTTCGCTGGAGCGGTTTGCAGCCGAGTGTGAAGCAGCTGGGATGAGAATCAGCTCGTCTAAATCTGAGACCATGGTCTTGATTCGGAAAAGGGTAGAATGCCTTCTCCGGGTCAGGGATGAGGTTCTGCCCCAAGTTGAGGAGTTTAAGTATCTCGGGGTCTTGTTCATGAGTGAGGGAAAACTGGAGCGTGAGGTCGATAGGCGGATTGGTGCTGCATCTGCAGTGATGCGGGCGTTGTACCGGTCTGTCGTGGTGAAGAGAGAGCTGAGTCAGAAGGCGAAACTCTCGATTTACCGGTTGATCTACGTTCCTACCCTCACCTATGGTCATGAGCTTTGGGTAGTGACCGAAAGAATGAGATCGCGGATACAAGTGGCCGAAATGAGTTTTCTCCAAAGAGTGGCTGGTCTCTCCCTTAGAGATAAGGTGAGAAGCTCTGCCATCTGGGAGGGGCTCAGAGTAGACCCGCTGCTCCTCCACATTGAGAGGAGCCAGTTGAGGTGGCTCGGGCATCTGGTCAGGATGCCTCCTGGACGCCTCCCTGGTGAGGTTTTCCGGGCACGTCCAACCGGGAGGAGACCTAATGGTAGACCCAGGACACGGTGGAGGGACTATGTCTCTCACCTGGCCAGGGAATGCCTTGGGATTTCCCCGGAGGAGCTGGCCCAAATGACTGAGGAGAGGGAAGGATAAGCGGATGAAAATGGAAGGATGGATGGAAAATCTTATAAACTGATCATTTAATTGAATAGTATGGATTAAAATGATTATTTAAAGTGTTCTTCATTAAAGATGTCAGTAAAAGCAACAGATCTAAAAAGAGAAGGTGATGGAAAATTTTTGATGCCACAAAATAAAAACATAATAAAAGAAAACCTTCATATTGGAAGGACATAGAGGTGATGGGAACACCCACCCAGGGGCGTGTCCAGGGAGTGGCCTGGGGTAGCAAATGCCACCCTTGGAATCTGATTCGCCACCCCAGATGCCACCACACTGAATTCCCTTTAAATAGGCTTTTCATTGTCCACAATAGGCTTGGGGTAAAAAATAAAAATAAAAAAGCATAACCATTGGTGCCACCCATGCACTAAGTCGTGCCTCACCTGGGCCACCCCATTTTAAAGAATCTGGACACGCCACTGCGCCCACCTTTTCTTTTCCAGATGACCTGTTTTTCAGATGCTCCAAACAATCAGAGAGGGGATTCTTCCGAGAAAATGACTTTCCTCCAGTCCTCAGGAGTCTGATCCCGGGACCTTTAGCAGAATGCTCGTCTCTCAGAGATTTTCTTCTAGGAGAGAAGAAGCTTCATTACTGCTATTCTTGGATAAATGTCAATGATTATATATAAAAATTAGAAATGGACTGAGGTTATACTGTGTATGTTTTACGGATAATTTTCTTTTGTAAAAATGGGCAGAAATTATAAGATTTTTCTTCTATCTGCTCGTTTCATTCAAATGTTTTATTTTTTCATTATGTTTATGGACTGTATTTGCTTGTGTTTATTTTATAAATTTTAAATGAAAAAAAAATGCTGAGTTTTGGAAGAAATTCATAGATTTATAAATAAGAGACTTTGAAACTCATGAAATGCTAGTAATCATACCTCAGTAACCATAGAAACCGCGGACACAAAGGCCGGGTTCGGCTTCAAGTCCATTTGGTAACTTCAGGTTTGAGTTGAATTTTTGTGCTTGTTGAGAACTCAGATATTGTGGCTCAGTCAGTGCACGTCTATTACTGGTACTACGGCTAGCCACTGAAAATCACCTGCTGGTAACTTTGTACTTTCTTCAACGTAAAATTTACTCCTTGAGTGTCTGCTCTGTCTTCTCGGTCCCCAGCGAGTTGTGGTAGACGGACACTGATCCGGGTTCTGTTGGAGGTTTCTTCCTGTTAAAAGAGAGTTTTCCTCTCCACTGTCGCTACATGCTTGCTCAGTATGAGGATTGCTGTAAAGACTCTGACACTAGCAGGGGCGGATTTAGGACTGAAGAAGATCCGGGGCTTAGCACACACACATACACAAATGCAAGCACACGCGCACACACACGTGACACGCACTAGTCAACATCATATATACTTGTCTTGTACCACATAATTTTTAATCTGAAGATACATATTAAGCATATTCAGGGCAGAGTATTGTTCCTGTTAGTGTTTAGTGTGAGATGATAGTAAATATTCCCTTTCTTTCTCCATCAACTTTACCTGATAGTAAGCTAACTTTAGGCAAACCAGCAGTACAACAAATATTTTCTAATAAGACTCACAAACCTGAGTCAACACCAGTCTCATCAAAGCTGGGGTTCTGTCGTTGTACTTTTGGTCTAAAAAACGTCCTTATGTCCATCTTCACTCATGCGTTTCAGGCAGAGAGTGTAGAAGAAGCCGGCTGCTGAAGGGCTTCTTCTTCAGTGGTGGAGGCTCAGGCAGGCTGTATACAAACTACTGCCAGCTGCTCCCTCTCTGTTGGACTTTGGTACTGCATGTTACTTCCACGATTTAGATCCGGGGCTTATCATGAAACATTCGGGGCTTGAGCCCAAGTAGCTGGGCCTAACGTCGCCCCTGGACACTAGTCAGTGACTCGA